GTCGGTGCCTGCGCTGGTGATGTCGCGCGGTCACAAGATCGAGAACATCCCGGAGGTGCCGCTTGTGGTGGAGGACTCGATCCAGGGCTACGAGAAGACGAAGGAGGCCGTTGCCTTTCTGAAGGCGATCGCCGCCATCGACGACGTGAACCGCGTGAACGACTCCCGCGAGATCCGCGCTGGCCGCGGCAAGATGCGCAACCGCCGCTACGTGGCCCGCCGCGGCCCGATGCTGGTGATGCCCGACAACAAGGGCACCCGTGCGTTCCGCAACATCTTCGGCCTGGACCTGGCGAACGTGAGCGCGCTGAACCTGCTGCACCTCGCCCCCGGTGGCCACGTTGGCCGCTTCGTGATCTGGACCAAGTCCGCGTTCGAGCAGCTGGACAAGATCTTCGGCACGTTCACCGAGGCGTCCGCCGTGAAGAAGGGTTTCACGCTGCCCGCGCCGATGATCACGAACACGGACGTGACGCGGATCATGCAGTCGGAGGAGGTGCGCCGCGTGCTGAAGCCGAAGAAGCTGCAGCCGAAGAAGGCGAGCCGCTACCAGAAGCCGACGAACGGGATCAAGAACCGCCGCCTGCGCCTGCGCCTGAACCCGTACGTGAAGCGCGAGACGGCTGCTGCGAAGGGCCTGCACGACAAGAAGAACCGCGATGCCCGCCGCGCTGCGAAGGCGACGCGCATTGCGAAGGCGAAGAAGGCCGCGACGAAGCCGGCGAAGAAGTGAGCCGCTGGTGTCGTGCATCCTCCCTCGCAGCCGCACGTGGACGTGCCTGCCTGCGTGAGTTCCTCGGCCTGCGTGCCGTAGTCTGTTAATTCCTTCTTTTTCTCCACCTGTTTCTTTTCTGATCGAGGTGATGATTTCTCATTTCAAGTATGTTGACAAAAATACACCTTCCAGTATTTTGCAAGAACAGGTTCCCCAGGCAACTGTGGTGGTTCAGTTTCGAGATCTGCGAGGCTTCAGGGTTGGCCGCAGCGCTTCTCGATGTTTCGCAATGAGCGCTACCGCGTTGGTGGTTTTTGCTTTGTGTGAGCGGCGAAGACACAGTTGGCGCTGATGATGTTGTCGATGTGCCGAGCGCAACCCCGTATTGTCACCGGCAGCGGTGAGAGCGCGAGCAAAGAATAACGTTGTGAAGCTCATCTTTTGTCTACGCATCGATCTCTCAAAGGAAAACTTTGCTATGGTGTATGACAGGTGATTTCTATGTGCCTTGCGCCGCCTGTTGTATGTTGGGCCGTGCTCCGTCAATCTCTCCCATTATCGCTGCGGTCTCCCTCTTTGGGTCTCTTTTCTATGTGAAACGTTCTCTTTGATTTCCATGTTGGCACACGATGCGTGCAACCCGTTTGACTCACACAAGCAAACAATTGCAATTCTTGAAAATCTCTCATATCAGTTTTCTATTCCTTTTCGCAGTGCTAACAATGTCTGTCCGCCCGTCCGTGAGCGTCTACTCCGCGTCGTCCGACTCCGTGGTCGGCACGTGCCCGCTGCCTGCGGTGTTCACTGCGCCGATCCGCAGCGACATCGTGCAGTTCGTGCACACGAACATGGCGAAGAACTCCCGCCAGGCGTACGCGGTGAACCGGCTGTCCGGCATGAACCACTCCGCGCACTCGTGGGGTACCGGCCGCGCCGTTGCGCGTATCCCGCGCATCAGCGGCGGTGGCACGAGCACGTCCGGTGCTGGTGCGTTCGGTAACATGTGCCGTGGTGGCCGCATGTTTGCGCCGACGAAGATCTTCCGCCGCTGGCACCGCAAGATCAACCTGCACCAGAAGCGCTTCGCCGTGGTGTCCGCGCTCGCCGCGTCGTCGGTGCCTGCGCTGGTGATGTCGCGCGGTCACAAGATCGAGAACATCCCGGAGGTGCCGCTTGTGGTGGAGGACTCGATCCAGGGCTACGAGAAGACGAAGGAGGCCGTTGCCTTTCTGAAGGCGATCGCCGCCATCGACGACGTGAACCGCGTGAACGACTCCCGCGAGATCCGCGCTGGCCGCGGCAAGATGCGCAACCGCCGCTACGTGGCCCGCCGCGGCCCGATGCTGGTGATGCCCGACAACAAGGGCACCCGTGCGTTCCGCAACATCTTCGGCCTGGACCTGGCGAACGTGAGCGCGCTGAACCTGCTGCACCTCGCCCCCGGTGGCCACGTTGGCCGCTTCGTGATCTGGACCAAGTCCGCGTTCGAGCAGCTGGACAAGATCTTCGGCACGTTCACCGAGGCGTCCGCCGTGAAGAAGGGTTTCACGCTGCCCGCGCCGATGATCACGAACACGGACGTGACGCGGATCATGCAGTCGGAGGAGGTGCGCCGCGTGCTGAAGCCGAAGAAGCTGCAGCCGAAGAAGGCGAGCCGCTACCAGAAGCCGACGAACGGGATCAAGAACCGCCGCCTGCGCCTGCGCCTGAACCCGTACGTGAAGCGCGAGACGGCTGCTGCGAAGGGCCTGCACGACAAGAAGAACCGCGATGCCCGCCGCGCTGCGAAGGCGACGCGCATTGCGAAGGCGAAGAAGGCCGCGACGAAGCCGGCGAAGAAGTGAGCCGCTGGTGTCGTGCATCCTCCCTCGCAGCCGCACGTGGACGTGCCTGCCTGCGTGAGTTCCTCGGCCTGCGTGCCGTAGTCTGTTAATTCCTTCTTTTTCTCCACCTGTTTCTTTTCTGATCGAGGTGATGATTTCTCATTTCAAGTATGTTGACAAAAATACACCTTCCAGTATTTTGCAAGAACAGGTTCCCCAGGCAACTGTGGTGGTTCAGTTTCGAGATCTGCGAGGCTTCAGGGTTGGCCGCAGCGCTTCTCGATGTTTCGCAATGAGCGCTACCGCGTTGGTGGTTTTTGCTTTGTGTGAGCGGCGAAGACACAGTTGGCGCTGATGATGTTGTCGATGTGCCGAGCGCAACCCCGTATTGTCACCGGCAGCGGTGAGAGCGCGAGCAAAGAATAACGTTGTGAAGCTCATCTTTTGTCTACGCATCGATCTCTCAAAGGAAAACTTTGCTATGGTGTATGACAGGTGATTTCTATGTGCCTTGCGCCGCCTGTTGTATGTTGGGCCGTGCTCCGTCAATCTCTCCCATTATCGCTGCGGTCTCCCTCTTTGGGTCTCTTTTCTATGTGAAACGTTCTCTTTGATTTCCATGTTGGCACACGATGCGTGCAACCCGTTTGACTCACACAAGCAAACAATTGCAATTCTTGAAAATCTCTCATATCAGTTTTCTATTCCTTTTCGCAGTGCTAACAATGTCTGTCCGCCCGTCCGTGAGCGTCTACTCCGCGTCGTCCGACTCCGTGGTCGGCACGTGCCCGCTGCCTGCGGTGTTCACTGCGCCGATCCGCAGCGACATCGTGCAGTTCGTGCACACGAACATGGCGAAGAACTCCCGCCAGGCGTACGCGGTGAACCGGCTGTCCGGCATGAACCACTCCGCGCACTCGTGGGGTACCGGCCGCGCCGTTGCGCGTATCCCGCGCATCAGCGGCGGTGGCACGAGCACGTCCGGTGCTGGTGCGTTCGGTAACATGTGCCGTGGTGGCCGCATGTTTGCGCCGACGAAGATCTTCCGCCGCTGGCACCGCAAGATCAACCTGCACCAGAAGCGCTTCGCCGTGGTGTCCGCGCTCGCCGCGTCGTCGGTGCCTGCGCTGGTGATGTCGCGCGGTCACAAGATCGAGAACATCCCGGAGGTGCCGCTTGTGGTGGAGGACTCGATCCAGGGCTACGAGAAGACGAAGGAGGCCGTTGCCTTTCTGAAGGCGATCGCCGCCATCGACGACGTGAACCGCGTGAACGACTCCCGCGAGATCCGCGCTGGCCGCGGCAAGATGCGCAACCGCCGCTACGTGGCCCGCCGCGGCCCGATGCTGGTGATGCCCGACAACAAGGGCACCCGTGCGTTCCGCAACATCTTCGGCCTGGACCTGGCGAACGTGAGCGCGCTGAACCTGCTGCACCTCGCCCCCGGTGGCCACGTTGGCCGCTTCGTGATCTGGACCAAGTCCGCGTTCGAGCAGCTGGACAAGATCTTCGGCACGTTCACCGAGGCGTCCGCCGTGAAGAAGGGTTTCACGCTGCCCGCGCCGATGATCACGAACACGGACGTGACGCGGATCATGCAGTCGGAGGAGGTGCGCCGCGTGCTGAAGCCGAAGAAGCTGCAGCCGAAGAAGGCGAGCCGCTACCAGAAGCCGACGAACGGGATCAAGAACCGCCGCCTGCGCCTGCGCCTGAACCCGTACGTGAAGCGCGAGACGGCTGCTGCGAAGGGCCTGCACGACAAGAAGAACCGCGATGCCCGCCGCGCTGCGAAGGCGACGCGCATTGCGAAGGCGAAGAAGGCCGCGACGAAGCCGGCGAAGAAGTGAGCCGCTGGTGTCGTGCATCCTCCCTCGCAGCCGCACGTGGACGTGCCTGCCTGCGTGAGTTCCTCGGCCTGCGTGCCGTAGTCTGTTAATTCCTTCTTTTTCTCCACCTGTTTCTTTTCTGATCGAGGTGATGATTTCTCATTTCACTTATCCAAAAGCAAGAGCTCAAAATTATGAGTCGCAATAAGAGGCTCTCGCTGAGGAGGTATCGACATCCACAGCGTCAGCAGGCGTTAGATGTAGCCAGGGGGAAAAGCGGCGGCAAATAGCTCCGAGGTGCAACAGGGATGTGTCAGGGTTGCTGGCAGGAAGCCACTCACCTTGAAAGGCTGTGGGAGGCGTTCACGGGGCAGGTTGCTGCGGTCCGACGGGTATTGATTTCTGTTCTTTGGCCCGCCGCACTGGTCTCTCGTTTTCTCACGTCTAAGGCTTTCTGATGCAACTGGATGTTCTTGCTCCTGCGCGTGCAGCGTGGAATGCGTGTCGCTCGCGTACCTGAAACGCTCACGTTTTCTCTCCTTCACACGTCTCCATCCTCCTTTCCTTTTGTGTTCTTCTTTTACTTTCCTCTGTGCTGGTGTTTTCTTTTACCCCTTCCGTTTCACTGGGAATTGGAGTGCTACCGTTCTTGTTTTTTGGCTGGTGTGCACCGGCGTTGAATTTCCCGCTCTGTTTCTCTACCGTCGAACTGGTAGCTGATATATATATATATATATATATATACATACATTATTCTTCGTTATTATTGTTATTGTTATCACTTTTCTTCTTCTGTACGTGATCATGTCTAATTTCCCAAAGCTGGCGCGGATTAAGTCCGAGGATGAGAATATGGAAAAGATCCACGTCGCGGCCCGCAAGGATCAGACGGAGGAGGTGCGCCGCCTGATCGGCCTTGGTGTGAACCCCACCATCCAAAACCGCTTCGGCTGTACGGCGCTGCACCTGGCGTGTAAGTTTGGCTGTGTCGAGACCGCCCAATACCTGGCGAGTGTGGCCGAGGTGCACTCCTCCTGGCACGGGCAGAAGCCGATCCACCTCGCCGTCCTCTCCAATCAGCTGGACCTGGTGAAGGCGCTCGTCGAGGGCGCGAAGGTGCGGGGACTGTCGACGGAGACGCTGCTGAACGAGTGCGATGAGCGGGAGGTGAACGAAATCGGCACCCACCTGAAGCACTGCAAGGGGCAGACGGCGCTGCATTGGTGTGTGGGGCTGGGGCCGGATTACCTACCGATGATGCAGCTACTCGTCCAGCTGGGGGCGTCACCGACGGCGAAGGACAAGAACGATGAGACGCCGCTCATGCGGGCGATGGAGTTCAACTGGCCGGAGGCGCTGGAGATGATGTTAGACAACGTCCCGAACCAGAATGCGCTGCGGCTTGACTACTCGGACAAGAACGGCCGCTCCCACCTTCATTGGGCGATCCTCAACAACAACGAGGCGATGGGGCTGCGCTTCGTAGAGATGGGCCACAACGTGAACATGGAGGACGCCGAGCACGTCGCCCCGCTGTACCTCTCGGTGCGGGCAGCCATGGTGCCCCTCACGGCAAAGCTTGCGGAGTTGTCGGATGTGCTGCTCGTGCAGAATTGTCCGTTTCACAACGGGACGACGGTGGTGCGGGATCGGATTGCGTGGCTAGACTTTGTCTCGGCGGACGCGGACGCGGAGCCAGCCAAGGCGGAGGTGATTCGGCTTTTTCAGGCAAAGCTGAATGAGATCATGGCAGGCCTTGGCGGTGGCGCGAAGGACGGCGAGAAGAAGAAGAAGCGGGGCAGCAACACCATCAAGAAGATGAGCTTAGCGCCTTCCGCCCCCGTCCGCGATCGATCTCGCAGTCGGGGAAGGAGTTTGAACTCTCGCAAGTAAACGCAATAGTTTCCTTTTCCTTTTCTGCTTGATATCTAGCCCGAAACACGTTAGAGTGCTCTTTTCTTTCACGTATTGTTATTGATTTTTTCTGTTCTTTTACGGAGGGCCTACCGAAAAAGACGTGTGCTGTGTGCTGCTGCAGTTATAGCGCCGTGCCACACGCGTGCTTGTATGATGTATAGTGCAGTTATTCGACCAAAACAGGAAGTTCGGTTGAAGTGGCACGGCGGGGAAAAATGAAAAGACAAGGCCCCTCAATAAGAACAAGCTGAAACGCGAAGCTGGGTTTCATCAAAAGAAAAGAAAGGACGCTAAGAAAACAAATTTATAGAAGTGGAAAAAAGCCGTTAATGTATTCGCCTCCATGTGTTTTTCTTCGTGAAGGTTCTATTCTCCAGTACTACTGAAGATTTATTCTTCTGGAGTTGAAGTCCTCGTCGCACTCAGAGCAACGCAGTGTTCTGCGCGGCTTCACTTTTTTCACCCTCCCACCGCGCGTTATTCGTTTGCACCGGCTTGTTGTGATGTACATATCCCTTTTCAATGGCGCATACTCCCAGTATCTTTTTTTCTATGTTTATCAGAGAGCACTCAACTGCTCACGGATGTGTGCCGAAACCCGGCAGCATCCGCTATTCTACCCAACGAGATGACTTTTCTTGGGATTGTAAACGGAGCAGTACCTTCGTAACGTGCATCCGCTCGCTCATCTACGCCAGTAAACACAACAGCACTGTTGTCCGCCGCATTTAACGCTTCTATGACTCCCATTCGTGTACGGGTTGTTCTCTCGCTACGACTTCCTTTCGTCGCCTTCACCCTTTTTTTTCCCCTTTTCTGTTTCGCTTCCACTCTTTTGTTCTTTTTTTGTTATTTTGCTGGTGCGACCTCTCAGCCTAGTGGACCACGAGAGTTCAATTGAAATCGCACACGAGGTTACACCCCGATCAAGGCGCAGGAGAAGATCGCGGAAAAGCGTTTCTATTTGGGCGGCGCAGAACACACGCTCTTTGGGCATCTCTCTTCTCTCTTGTAGGCCAGTACAAGGAAGAGAAGCAGCATTTAATTCCCGCTTGACATCGGTAACACACACACACACCCACAAACTGGAGCTCATAAGTAATTAAGTACTCTCGCTGCAGCGAGACCCACCGCGCTTGTTGAACGTTGCAGAGCGGCGTTAGTCGTACGAGGCCGTTCAAATAAACAAAAGAGATTAGTTTTCTACTCTGCTCCTCCTTTGGGTTGGTGTAGTTGTACCTGGTCTCCTTTGCTTTCTTTTTCTGAGCACCGCTTCTCACGTCGTTATTTTTATTGTTCGTTTGTTTGCTGCCTTCACCCCTGCACATCGTTGCGGCGTGCTGCCTCTTCACTTTCTGCCATGGACTTCAACCCTATTAGCATTGAGGAAGAGGATGGCCACACTCAGCGTCCGAACGGCGTGGCTGTTCCCCCCATTCAAGGCAGCCGCGGCAGCTCTGGCATCTTAAACGCGAATTCCACCTTCGGTGATGCCCTGCGCATGTGCCACAACGCCTTCTACTACCACACCAGCTGGTCGGTGCCCTACCCCGAGGTTCCCGCATCCCCGATGCTCTACTACCCGGACGAGTACCGACGCCTGGTTGACTCGCCGGCGCCGCTGGGCGTCATGCAGTCGGAGCTGGATGCGATGCAGATGGGCGTGCTGGACAGCATCCCACTCGCTTACTACCCACTGAACCCAACTGCCATCGAGGAGGCGCGGCTGGCGATGCAGCGCAACTTGCTAAAGAAGAAGCGGACGGAGGCTGCGGCGACAACAACCGCAGCAACGGAGGCGTCGCCCACCACCAACGTGGCAGCGGCGGCGGCAGCGCGGCACGGGCTTCGAGGGCGGCTGGCACCGGGTGACGCCGAAATTGCACGCATCATCGTGGACCCGAACGAGATCCAGATCCGCAATTTGCCTTCCCTGACCCATGTCCAGCGGCCCCTCTACACGGATATCGGTCTCGTTCCGCAGGAAGACCGCCATGCGGCGCGTGTGGCACGCACCCAGCCAAAGGAGAGCAAGCCGGTTACCGCCGCGGTGACGACGGCGGACATGCTGCGGCAGTGGCGCTTGGATGTGCAGGCATCGTTCCAGGAGGCGGGTCAGGTCGACGCGGGATTTGCGCGCTTCATTGCGGAGGTGGCGCATACGAAGTTGGGGCTGGACCGCACGAACCCGCGTCACTTGCACTTAACGCGTGCCCTGTGGAGTCGTCTTTTCCAGGGCACGAGAAGGGAGCAGCAGCATAAGGTGTGGTACGCGCTGTGCCGCTTCTCCTCCACCTTCGACGACACCCGCGCCCCGGAAGCGGCGGTGGCGCAGATGCGTCTGGATCGGGAGTCGCTGAAGCTGCCGCAGTACGCGGCGAGTTGGTTCCCGCTTCTGAAGGAGTACGCGGAGGCCGTCCGCGACTACGCCGCTTCACTCGCAGGTGGCGTCGAGCAGCGCCGTGAGAACCTGCAATTTCACGATAAGGAGCTCGATGAGCTATACAGCGGCAACGTGTACACGAACATCGAGCTGGACGGCAAGCTAGTCCGCACCAGCGCCGACCGCCAGAAGAGCGCCATCTACCCGGTGGAGGTGTTGCCGGTGTACCCGAGCGGGTATCAGCGGGCAGCGGAGATGGGGCCGACGGTGCTGCGGCTGCAGGACGCAGAGGCGTTAGATTTCCTCGCCGAGCGCGATGCTTCACTGCACCACGTTATACTGCCGGATGCCGTGCTGCCAAAGTCTGCGCTGCGCCGTCCACACATGTTGGTGGGTGACTGCAACTTGTTGGTTGCAGAGGAGGGCGACTTCAGCAGCGTACAGCCCGGCTCGACCTTGTGCTACGGCGTGTCGGAGGAGAACGCCTACCAGTCCCTCCAGAAGGAGCCTCTCAACACGGCGAGTTACCTGTTGCGCCTCGAGCAGACAGTGGCGGAGGCGGCGCAGCCGCTTGGCACGAACTACGACGGCCGATACGTGGCGTACGACCGCATTGGACACCGCGACATTTACCAGAAGACAAACAGCGCGGATAGCAGCACCCTGTCGCGGTACGTCGTCATGTTTGCGGACGCGCCGGTGCAGGGTGGCACGGCGCCTGCTGCTGCTGCTGCGGCGGATATAGTGGATGCTGGCGTATCTCCCGCAGGGGCGAAGCGGGAGAGGGAGGGGGTAGGCGCCACCGCTACCGCCGCAACGGACGACGACGCAGGACCTGCCTTTCAAGTTCCACGGATGGAGTTTTAAGAGCGAGGGAGAAATAACGCAGAAATGGGTTGCCGCGATACCCCTTTTGTTTGCTCCATTTCAGAGGGTTATGCGTTCTCAACAAACGAGGTGATGGATCAGCGCAGCACCCCTTGGCTGATGTTTCTGCATCTTGGAAGAGTTTTTTTTTAATGGAGGATGAAGAGAGGTGGCAGCTGCGTGAAGTGCAAGTCTATCTATCTATCTATCTATCTATCTATCTATCTATCTATATATATATATATATATAGTTGCTGTTGAAGGTGTATTCTCTTACCCTTTTCAGTCGGGAGTAGTTTTGGCTTTTATGGTTGTGACGGGAAGAAAGAATAAGCGTAAGATGCGGATGAGTGTCGCCGCGGGGCACACGCAGACACACAAGCTTGGTTGGTGTTGTTGAGGCGGCCGCACAGGTTCTGACACAGTAGGGAGATTTTTTTCCACCGTCGCGCCTTTACAGCGGCGCTCTCTCGTTAGACGTCGTTCGCAGGGGCCGTGTAAAGCGGTGATGCTTTTCTTGGTCGATTCCCGTCCTTCCTCCCTTTTTTTTTCTTTGCATTGTTTTGACGGTCGCGTTCGCCTCAGCTGTGTTTGGTTTGGCTTCTCTTTGGCTGTTGTCTAACGGCTTTTTCTTTCTTCGTGTTTCCCGTGTGTCTTGTACGTATTTATCTTCCTCTAGGAAGTTGTATTGACCTCCGAATGCGACGGGAGGTGAAGGCTCCCTGCGAAACAACACAGCGAAAAGGAGAAAAATGAATGGAATTCCTCCATCGCTGCGTTTCGGTCACTGACACATGTGCCGTGTATGTCAAAATGAAGAAGAATTAGGAACAACAGTGCAAGGCGGTAGTGTGTGCCTCTATTGTGGTTATGATCTCAACAGGTCATCGTTTTTGTGCACCCACGTCGACGCTTCGATGGGTGGCGGCATCTTTTAAATCGTCCGACAACACTTTGCGCTGCGTGTCGAGACAAGCGGCTGACACGGTGCGGAATGTGTTTGTTTTTCCCTTTGTCTTCCGTCTCTGATGTGTGCAACGCCCAACGCTTCGACGAACGTCATCTTTGCCATGGTTCTGGTGTCGTGACTTCCTTTTTCAATCCACCGCAGAGCACGAAGGCTGTGCTGCCGTTACGATCGTAAAGGAAAAAAGGCGAATACCTCAGTTTATCACATCTCATCTGCCTCTCTGCTCTTTACTACTCCTTTTTCTTTTCCTTTGGTTAACATAAAACACATCCCCCCCGTCTCCTATTTTTTATTTGACGTTATTTAACTCGTGCCGCGTCGACCAACCTAACACCACTGCCACAACAGCCTCTTAAAAAAAGGGAAATAAAGATAAACTAAAACCCGCCTCGTCCGCTTTTGCATCTCCTGTTTTTGGAACGCGCACACCAATCAGCGCGGAACGAAAAGGTAGAGTGAAGGCTTCGAAGTCCACCCAAAGAAGGACACGTAGCACACAGTGCTTCCTGTGCTTCACCACTGCTTTCCTTTTCCCTCGGTTTTTTCTTTCAAACGTTCTTCACATCATCTCCAACGCTTGTGTTTGTTTGCTTTTTTCGACAAAAAAGGAAGCGGTCTTTTTCGTTGGTAGATCGAGCAGAGCTTCCACAGCCACAAAGGAGCAAACACAGCAAACTGATTGTTTTTGTTTTTCTTTCTAGTCTTGTGTGGCTCTCTTGTGCCTGTAGCCGGTGACGAAGAAGAGAGGAATACCCCCGAAGACGAAGCGTTGTCTTTGCTGCGCCTCACAGCCGTTTTCTTTTTTTTTTTCTTCCCGCTCAAACAGCAGAAAGGAAAGCACTCGAGGCAGAAGGAAAGTTAAAATAACAGAAAAAAACCCGGCGTAACTTCAACAGAGAAGAGAGCCGACGTGGTTTGATGAAACTCAACCTAATTATTTCTATCCGTGTTCAGTGAACCTTTTTTTTTCTTTGTGTGTGCTTTTTTTTTTTTAAGAGGGGGAAACTCAATAACCACATCTGACTGCACTTTTGGTGTCTCGCCCTTCTTTTTTTTTCTTTCTTCTTGCACGCTCTGTGACGCCGCTCTGCTTTGTTGCATGTGCTGAGCGCACGCTATTCTTTTCACAGATACACAGAATAGACGAAACAAAGAAGAAGAAAGGAGTAACGCAGCGCCCCATAAGTTGCTGTCCGATCGAATTTTTCATTTTGTTATTCTTCTGCCTTTGAGCAATTTTCAACTGTCTTTTCTTTCTCTCTCCTTCTCTATCGTGATATAAACTTGCATGGTCATAGATATATTCTTTTCATTTATTTATTTATTTTTTCTTCTTTTCTTCTCCAGATTCGAGAATCGGCAGCTGTGGGGAATCCCGTAGGCACTACGTATACAATCGTCCTCTGGCTTAGCATTCCGGACCGCGTTAAACGTAAACAAGAAGAGAGCTGACGCAACCGCTTTATTTTTTTTTTTTTTGGCATTATATATAAATATATATTATATACTGTGTTTGTCGTCAGAGTTCTTTCAAGCACACAATCAAACAAACAAACAAAAAGCCAGAAGGTCTTTATTTTGAAACTCTAAAGAAAAAGAAAACTGCGCTCTTTACGACCCTCTATTCTCCATAACGTACTTTTCCTTTCTCGAGGCACGAGGTCCAGTTGGCTCTTACATCGACAGCAGCTCCAATCACGCCGAGCTCAGTGTCTGTTACGCTGATACACGAATCGAGAGCGCACAGGACAACAGAATAACAGCTTTCTATTTGGGGAGACAGACAAACGAACAAAGGCACCGCGTTTTTCTACAATTAAAGGATCGGCGCACACAGCAAAAAAGAAAATTCGAACCTTTTTTTTGTCTTCTGTTTTCTGCACACTGCGAAAAACAGCAACAAAAACAGAACTCTTCAAGAGCTCACGCGCCTTGAAAGAAAAGGAAAAGCAATTATTGCAAGACCCCAAACCGAGATCCCCGCAAGCAGGCGAAGAAAAGGAAAGAAATCCAAAGCGAAGCAGACTATCTTTTTGTTTTCCCTTTTCTGCGAAGAGCGGCGATTTCCTTGCTGAACAAACGAACCAAGAGTCAACACGACTACGTGATCAGACAGTTTCCTTTCTCAGAGAAGAAGAACCGCGGAAAAAGAAGAACAAAAGCAAAAGAATAACGTACCTCTACAGTTATCGCGATCCTTCAAAATACACCAGTTTGCTTTGTTTTCCTTTCTGTGTGCTAAGGTGACTTCACAACGCCCCCCCCCCCTTTCCCTCTCTCTCCGTATTTTCTACACAACAACAAAAAAGTGTTCGTGCCGCTTTCTTCTTCTCTTTTTTTTTTAAATACGACAAGGTTGTATAATTAACACACGCCCATTCCTATTAAACTCCCTGCTCTCGTATTCCCTCTATTATTTTTTTTTCTTACCGTTTCTTTTTCTCTCCTTTCTTCTTTCTTCCCTCAGCGTCAGTTGTAACAGATAACAGAGGTCTTAGCGCTAACACCGTTGTATATATATTTTGTGTTCTCCTGCCTTACACGCACTTTGAGGCGCGGCTGAAGAAGTGTGGGCGTCCTTCAGCATTTCTCTCCCCCCCCCTCTCTCTCCTTCGTCACAAAAATTGTTTCTCTTTTCATTCACGTCTTCACAAATACTATTTTTTAAATTTCTTTCCGGCTTTTCCTCGCTCCAATTTCTATTCTCTTCGCCCATCACTCAAGACCCACGCAGTCGAGGCATTTTCCTATTCAGCGATTGTTGACTGCCCCTCTCGATTTTTCTTTTCCTTTACCGTCTCTTCACATACTTTTTCTTGTTTTGGTGACTTCTCTTCCCAAATTCTACGCGATCTTTTGCTCACTGGTATATTATTGCTGTACCGCTGACTCGCTCCGCTTCCTCACTCTCATACTTTTTTTTTCTTTTCTTCTTGCTTTGTTTGCTCCGTTGCGCGTTGCTGGTAGCGCTTAACTTGACAGGGTAGAGCTCAAACAGGAACTTCAAAGAGTATTCTCATCTGTGTGTTTGCATTTCCTCTCCCTATAAAACCTTTTTGTTTTAAGCCTCTTCACCTTTTCCCTCTCCATTTTCTGTTTCGTTGTTGCCGCAGCAAAAACGAAGCGTCCTTTCGTTGGCTACTTGACACGTTTCTCTTCCTTTAGAGAGGCGCTCTTCTCTTCGTTGGTTTTTTTCTTTCCTTTCTCGTCCACGGACCTTCATTAAACGTTTTTGGGAGAGCAGCGTGCGCTTTGTTGCGGCACCTCCAATCTCTCTTTACACGCCCCGCTTCACTATTCCTTTTCTCTCTTTTCTTTGCTTTCTTTTTTTTTTACCTTGTTTGCTTGTTTGCTTGTTCTTGCATGATGCCGTATATTGCGCGCGCCCCGTACGCAGATACAGCCGGAAACTCGAAAATGCCACCCATGGCAGCCACAGCAGCCGGCAAGCCGCCAGCACCTGCCCACGCCACCTACCCGCTCGTCAACGTGAACGAACCGCCAGCAAGTAGCAACAACGATGCAATCAACACTTCAAGCCCCCTGCGGTACAGCCACGCCGGCGGCCGCGGCGGCTGCTACGTCAGCCACAGCAGCGCCACCAGCTTTTTCAACTACAGTAACAAGAACACTACTACTGCGGCTACGATGGCTTGTGTGAGCGCCGGGCCCCCGGGAGCCAGTCGCATCGCGTCGTTCCCCTCGAACGAACTGCAAGAGTACATTTCCATGACCTCCCCTGCGAGCGACTTCTACTACTACTCCCCTCAGCCCTTTTATTTGGAGTCGCCGGCGCCGTGTGCGGCAGCGGAGTTGTACGGCCATGGCAGCCCCGGCCCCACCAGCTTTGCCGCGTACGCTGCGATGCAACCCGCGTCGGGTCCGTACTGCTACAACAGCACAGATCCCGCCTTCTCTTCCGCCTGTGGCGGCGGCGGTGGTGTTGCGGCCTCTGCGGGGACCAATACACCTTCGTTGATGAGCAGTATGAGCTTCAGCGGCTCACGCTTTCCGCAGTGGTACCTGCCACGTGGCCTGTACGGCTCCTCCATGGCTGCCGCGACTGGGGCCGGTGTGGCCGTCCCCTCCGTTGCATCTGGCGTTTATGGTACCACTCCCCTGTATGGCTACGCATCGCCTGCGCCAGCGAACGCGTCCGTGCCGTGTAACTCGGTTGAGGACGACGCGCTGAGCTGCGAGGAGAACTTTGCCGCGGCAGGGGCGTCGTGTCGGTATGCGCAGGAACTGCCCGTACCGCCGCGTCTCAGCCCGCAGTGCAAATCATCCAGCGCCGGCGGATCTCTCTCCTCGCAGCCGTCTATGCCGGGCTCGGAGCGGGCGCCGCAAGCATCCGCGTTTGCCTACCGCACGCCGTCGCACTACGGTGCAGCTGGCCTCTCGGCTGAAGCTTCTCCTGCGCAGTCGCCGACCTGCCGCCCTGCCCGTTCGCCGCAGTTTGTGTCCTATGACGGCCGCGCCTACGGCTTACCGGTGTACCGAGGAATCAGCTGTGCTGATGCGGCCATCGCGATCTCCCGCTCTGCTCTCGTCGCCGACACCCCCGACACGAACGTAAGCCCCAGCCGTAGCGTCGGCGGCGGCAACCACCAAGGATTGTGCAGTGGAGCGCCGCGGCAGGCGATGATGGTGAGTGGCATCGGTCGACGTGACGCACCAAGTGGCGCGGTGCTCTCTTCTGCCCTTCCGTCGGCCACGCCGCCTGAGGCGCCGGCTGCGAACACGCCTGCCTCTGCGGAGGGAGCCACCACGCAGAATGACGGAGCGGACGAGGAGGAGGAGGTGTACTCTCCGGAAGAAAAGGCGTTGCTGGTGGACGCGCACACCCGCCTGGCGAAGCTGCGCGCGAAGGCGCACGAGGAGCAGCAGCAGCAGCAGCAAAGACAGGCGCGGTCAGCGCTGTCAGTTTGGTCTTCACCGGCCACCTCGGTTTCCTCCCCCTCCACCATGCCCACGAGCGTCGAGCGAGGCAGCACCAACACCGCCGTGAGTGCTCCTGCAAGCGGAAAGCCGACGCTGCTGGCGGTGGCGCGTAGGCAGAGCGACGCGGAGGCACAGAGGCGGTTGAATGAGTCGGCGCATTCGGCGGGCACCGCGACGGACATACCCGTCTCCCCCATCCCGCACCTTCCCGGCTACGACGACGCCGACACGGCCCGTCTGGAGGACTCGATGCTGGAGGGGATGAACTTATCGCAGGAGCCCCCGACGGAGGGCGACGCGGATGGCGCTACCCGGGCGGTGCTAGAGCGGGTGCTGTCGCTGCGTGGAGTGAAGTGGCGCCACGACCCGTACAGCCGCCGCGTGTTGGCGCACCCCAGCAGCCCCACCAGCACGGAGGACGACGTACAAAGGACGGAGGACGGTGAGAACGATGAGGTGGTGCAGCGGGAGAGGAGCAGCGAGAGATGCCGTAACACTCCTCCGTCGTCGCGATCGAGACCGGCGAGCCCTGACACGCTTTCACGCAGCTGCCGGCAGCCGCTGGTGGACGCGGCGGGACGGAAGCGGCCAACCCCAGATGAGTCGACGCTGCCGAGCAGTGAGAGCACAACGCTCACGCAGCCGCCGGCGTCGCCGAACGTGTCGCAGCACACGCAGGACAGCCGCGATGGCAGTGCGGATGAGACCAGCACGCAGCCCAGTGTGCGCCGCATGCCCATCAAGAAGGTGTGCGTGCGACACTTTGTGGGCGGCAAGGACGGCGAACTGTCAGCCTCGGCAGACGGCGCCGTCGGCATGCTGGCGAAGGTGGTCTCTCAGCTCGTCTCCACTCGCCCCTCTGTGTCCACCACCGTCACGGCGTCAACGAAGACACAGGCAGACGCCTCTGTCAACGACAACACGCTTTCAAAGAGGAGCAGTTCGACTGACCACTTGACCGTGACCACGTCGGGCCCTCAGGAGAGCGTCACGGTGGCCACTTCTTCTCCTCTGCTTTGCACCGCACGGCCGCTGAAGGACGCTGTCGGTGCCCGCAGTAGTCCGTTGGTGCCGTCTCCGCGTTCCAAACACCATCTGCACCGCGATGTGAACGAAGGCGGCGCTGTGCCACGTGCATTGGCCACCGCCATGGCTACTAACAGCCACACAGGCAGCACGACCGATGACAGCAGCAACAGCGACAGCAGAAATGCTAGCAATCATCGTGTCAGCCCTGCGTCCTCAACGGAACCCGTGCTGAGGCAGATGGGCCCTTATGCGTCCTTTGGCCCTGACGCGCTCTCTGCCAGCTCTGGTGAGTCTCGATTCACGTCCTGGACGTTGCGTGCGCGGCTGCTGCAGGGCCTGCCGGCTGCCGCCGCCGCCGTTGCAACGCCTGCGTCCTCATTGCTCTCCCACAACTGGGGCCATAAGAAGGCGACCTGCACGGCGGACGTCGATACGCGGTTGCTGGTGCAGCTCTGGCGCACCCTCGACGCGAGCGGCTGCTTCCGCGACGTTCTCGAAGCACGCCAGCACAAGCTCGGGACGGAGAGCAACAGCTCCTCCCGCGTGACAGCACGCAATGTGGCCCGCCGCTTCAGCAGCAGCAACAGCCGCAACGGCGCGGCTGGGGAGGAGGAAAGCGGTGGCCGGTCGTATCGCTCGCAGCAGCAGCAGCATCAGCAGCTGAAGTGGGGGATGCTGACGGAGGAAGAGGTAACCCACGTCTACGTGCTGCGTCATCGCTACCGCAGCAGCTGCGCCGTGGCCGCCTGCCGGTACGACTGCGGCACGGAGGTGGTGGTGGACGGTGACATGGGCGTGGACACCGGTGTGGTCGTGCTCGTGATGACCAAGGCGGAGTACGACGGGTTGAGTCCGCTGGAACGGCGCCTGGCCGACCTCTCGCCGGAGTTGTCGCAAGCCCTGACGGAGTCGATCCATCGCCCTCTCACCGCGGAGGAGCGGCATCTGCGAAACGAGGCGCAGCGGCCGTTGGAAGACGCCACACTGGACTTTGTGCGCTACCTGGCAACGCAGCCGCACCTGTTCCACTCCTGTCGCATTGAGTGCATGAATTTTGTCGCGGTGGAATTCCAGGCGGATGGGCAGAAGCTGTATGTGTACTACCAAACCTCGTCTGCGGTGCGATTCCTGGAGCTGGCCACGTACTTGAACCACATCTTCCACTGCCGCATCTGGATGAAGATGGCCAAGGGCTGCTAGCGCGTGCGTCTTGTTTTTCCTCCCCTTTTTTTTACAGAGCGCTTGCTCTCTTCCATATATATATTTGATGGTTCTTTGGTCCCCTCGTCCCCCTGGTCAGAGCGACAACCACGTGTAGCTCTACAGCCCTTCCCTCTTGCACGGCAAGGGAGGTTAAACGGAGTATCATGTAGTTGTGCCCGTATAAAAAGAAAACTTGGGTGTGCAATGAAGGCTTTTTAGGAAAGAAAAAAAAAAAGCCCTTTTCTTCCTCCGTTGTTTGTGGGATTTTTGCTTTCAAGTGTTTGATGTCTTGCTGTTTTGAAGGGGAGTGGACCCCTGCTTTCTTCTTCTATTCATTCATATGTATTCCATCGTCTTTTCATTTTCTTCTGTGTTTCTAAAGATAAACTGTGCGTTGGAGTTGGTCACAGAGAAAGTTCAGCGCATTCAGTGGTTTCTTATTTCTTGGTAGCTGTTAAGAATTAAAGCACAAACGTGCGTGCGTCTCCCTCTCAGATATATACCCTCTTTTCTATATTTACAAATTGATGTGGGTCTATATATTTTTTACGAGTATATATCTATTTTTGTTTTACTTGGAATGAAGTGAAAAGAATAGGAAGTTTTCTCTTTGTTTCTTTCACCCGTGTGTGTGTGTGTGTGTGTGTGTGTGTG